ACGACCTGCATAGCCTAGTAAAAGCGATAACTGAGTAGATAGGAACAAGTGATGATTTTTCCCGATCGACAAGTGGATATTACCATTTATCATAATTTAATAATTTATATATGTAAATTTATTCGAATGAACGGTGTGTAAAAGCAATAGTACCCATATTTCTTAACCGATTTATTTAACAACTCAAATATTGTAAATTTTGCCCATTTTCTCATCATACTTGTCACTGTTTATACATTGTTGTGTTTATGACGGAAGTTTAAAAATTCAGCGTATTTAAATAACCGAAACTTGGATACTCCTTACACATACCTTTTCTTAAAGCTCTGATGGATTTGTAGAGATAAATTGTATATCGCTTTTCCTTCACGCCAACACACTATACTCCTTGGTGGCCTCGCTCTTTTTACCCATGAACCATTACCGTCACGCACCTCCAAAACTTGTCATGGTGTGGTTGAAACTGGTTGAGGCTGACTGGTGTTTGGGTGACAGGTCAAGCTCGCGCCACAATATATTCTCGAACTTTTCAGATAGAGTAAATACGCTAATAATATAAGTTATATTCACTCCACTTGGTAAATCTGTATATGACACAAGATGATTATTTCAAAATTTAGAATTGTCAGAATTTTAAAGTAAAAACTTAACGTTTTAGAATTTTTGGTTGTATGAGTTAAGATAAATTTTTTTTCATTTTTTCAGTAATGTTGCGTACTATCAGTCGTCTTATTTTTACTCGCAATTCGGCAAGTTTTCAATGTTTTCTAGAGAACTTCGACACAATGCCTTCCCCGTCCATCATCCTCCAGTAGTTTCAACTGACGACAAAAGGAAGATCTGTAAAATTGTAAGACGGTGAGTCAATATTTACCTTCTCTGCTCGCTACTGCCATTGTTGTGTGCTGTGTACTTAGGCATTATTGCTGTTCTATTATTGCAGCACTGAAAGCACCAAGTAATTTTGTTTTACTTTTCTCATTAAAGTAGAGATATATTTGTAATAACTAAGTCAATTATTATTACATTGATTCCATAATATACAATATAATAATAGGTGTTATTTTGTATAATCTGCTCCATTTATTGAATTTTCCCTCATGGGACGTGAATTAACGTGACTATGTACTGTACTAGTTTCAACTTTAAACTCCATCCCCCAAGGTACACCATCGAGTGGCATTCTCCTACCATTACTGCAATGTGTAGGGACCCTGTGTTATATTGTTTCTCTATCATTCTATAAAGTTTAGCCAATTGTAATACTTGGTCTACCGCCCCTTCTCCCTCCCTTTTCTCCTTATCTCCTCCACCTATACTTTAATCCCCTAGGTACGATGTCTTATCCATTTAAATACGATAGACTCTTCCTCGAAAATATGACATTGCATTCAAGTGGTACTCTACATCGTACTCTATCGTACTCAGGAGGATAATAATACGATCCAGGGTACACACAACTTCGGACATTATTCGGTTTATTTTCTGACGAGTAAATTCTTGTGCATTCGGTCCAAATCTTGTATATAAGTGCATTTGCTTTAATCAAACTATATTAACAACTTATGGTTCAATCGTAGGGTGAGATGGATTCAATTATGGTTACAGCTGGACCAGGACTTGAGTGACAGCGACCAAGATCAAGACCACAGTTGATAGTCCAGAAGGCGTCACTAACAAACTCCGTGGCTCCGTTGGTGTAGTTTCTGTTGACGGCAGTACCTGATGTCTGACCCACCATGCTAATACTTTCAAATGACGTCACCAGTAATATGAGTGTTTCCACGATTAAGATTTTATTCAAGGACATCTTAATATTACTAATATTTTCTGTTGTAATTCTCTTTTGTCGGTATTGCAATTTCCTTTTAATTTGTCATCTTTCTATTTTTTGTTTGTTTCCAATAAGATCGTTAGTCTTTTTCTTTTTTTTCATTTGGTCTTCCATTGCAATTTATATTTATCTCTTCTATTTAGATAAGTAACTTTAACATTTCTTTGTAAGGTATATGCGACAAGTGGACCTAATGACAAGATCAACCCCCAAAAGTTATTGTACAATCATATTTTTTTTTTGGTTTTACTAATAAGACAAATCCTATTATGAAAATTAGCTTAAGTTTGTGTTATGTATCCCAGTGACGTAAGTTTATTACCACTATGAATTCACCTCATTTACAAACAAACACTTTTATAAGAGACTTTGTAAATATATTAACATTCAACACAACTCTCGTCTGCCGGAGGTGGAACACGGAGAACTATTTTTTCTAAAAGGTTCGTTCGTTAGTGTTTCCGATTTTTTTTTTGTATTCTACTGCCGTCAACAACTATGGTCTTTAAGTTCGGTTTCTTTTTTTCTCTTCTCTCCTTTGCTTCTCCTTCCCTACTCTCTCATCTTCTTCTTATACTCCGCTATCCATTTCTCCATCTCATTTTACTTTCCCTTTTCCTTCTTGTTTTTTTTTCTTTCTCTTCCTTTCTTTCGAATTCTATCCCTCTTCTTCCTTATCCTTTCACCCCTCCTCAATATCTCTTCCTCTTACCAACAAGTATCAACTTTTACACGGAAGGTCAAAGTGATAACAAGATAAGAATATATATCATCGTACTATTGTGTTGTGTGCCCCCCCCCCCCACAATCTCCCAGCATCTAGTTCCCTCCCACATTACCTCTTTCCCACCTCACCCCCTTCCCCCACACCCCTCCCCAGCCTCTGTATGATTCGTTACTAAAGAGAGTAAGAATTGTAAGAGTGGTGGGGACAGACAGACACAAGGAGATATAGACAGACGTATATGTTTGTGTGTGTTTCAGTGTATTTCTATGTATTGCTGTGTTTCAGTGTATTTCTATGTATTGCTGTATGTTTCAGTGTATTTCCACACGTTGCTAGGACTAAGTTTTAGCGTGTTACCGAGTCCATTCTCTGTGTACACACCGGGACGCTGAAAAATGACGAATCACTGCTTGGCCTTCGACATTTCCCCTCATGAACTCGGCGCACCATGCAACAGCAGGCTTCGTCACGCGCATGTCTCCTGCTGCTGACAATTACACATGGTTACTACACATACTCCCTGCTGTTGACACGTCTACCCAGCCACTACATATGTCTCCTGCTGTAAACACGTACAGGTACATTACACATGTCCTCTGCTGTAGATACGTACATTACACATGTACTCTGCAGTAAACATGTACTCCACATTCACCCACCAAACATCCCTCTATGCTTGAAGACAACATGATAATCCAAGTTATGATGCTGTTAACTTTTGTATATATATATAAACCTTACTTCCATCTACCACCTATTATTCAGGTTAAGATAGTTAATCTATTCAAAACCATCAGTAAATGTACAGCTTAAGGCACAAAGTATAGCTACAGGTGATGTCTTAACGGCGATGTGACTTACGAATGAATCTATATGATCTGACGAAGGAGGTCTTCCCTGGCGGCCATTTACCTTCATCCTTCGTTTACCTTCCCGGGTGTTGATACATAATGTCCCTGCCTCCCTCCCTCTCTGCCTGCCTGCTCCCTGCCTCCCTCTCTTCCTCCAACTCACAGTGTCTCAAGGAACAGGCAGGGAGGGAGACAGGGAGCAAGCAGAGAGGGAGACGGAACAAGCAGGGAGGCAGGGAGCAAGCAAGCAGGGAGGGAGGGAGGAGGCAGGGAAATTTTTCTGGGAAACTCCATATTTTGCTGGTAATTCTTGGTGTGTTTCATTGTAGGTGAACAAGGAACTCATTTCCCAGTCAGTCACACCTTAACCCGAGCCATTTAGGATTTCCACACGTAACCACTGAAGCAAATACCTTGGTAGAAAAAGTTGAGTGCGATAGTAAAGTTTGTAGGTGCAGGAGTGCGTAGTTCCTTGCGTATAGTACTTACTACATCTCTTCTGCGTAGTGGTGTGTGTGTGTGTGTGTGTGTGTGTGTTAGACATTCATAGGGTGTCGCCTTATTGTTTGCCATTGTTTGTATACCTGCATTGTCTGCATATTGTGTGTATACCTGCACTGTGTATGTATATTGTGTGTATACCTGCACTGTGTATGTATATTGTATACCTGTATTGTCTATTATACAGGTTGAATTAATGTAAACTTTAATGATGATTTTACTGAATTAATACATTATCTATCGATCTATCTATCTATCTATCTATCAGTCACTCTCTCTCTCTCTTACGTCACTTAGAGGTAATATTAAATAAGAGAACCGTGTGAATGAACTCAGACACTTACCTAATACATGAGAGTGTGACGTCAACCCAGGCTGATGAAGGCTGGGGTGACGGTGCTGCTCTCTCTCTCTCTCTCTCTCTCCTATTACCGAATCACAGGTAAGAGTCTACAAGTTCAGGTAAAGCATAAGGTTAAGTTAGGTTAGGTTACGGTAGGTTGGGTTAAGTGGGTTAGGTTAGATTATCATTTTTGGTTGTGTTAGGACGGGCTACACTTGGCAAGACTGTAGGTTAGGAAACAAGCTCCTTTATTACCAAGCTGTCATATACTGTACTCTACACACATGACGCCATCAGTCACGCGTTAAGGTGGGTCTTGGAACATACAGGAGAGGATGTATGTCAAACTATCTCACCTGTTGGCTAACCTGTAGTCAATTACCATACTGTTATTGATAGTAAACAATGTATATTAAACTTCGAATCTTTCTTATGTTTATTGTCTAATTTATTTTATATTATCGATCATTTTTGGCAGTAAACTTTAAACTCACTTCTTAAATGTTTATCGAATATTTGCTTCATTGCTTTGGTATTTCCTGCTTAGTCTCGGATCAGCCACCACCACCAGGCAAGCTTCCAATAACTCCCAACCAGAAAACTTTATAATCTGTAAACATTTCTAGGAGGCTCATAAGACGCCACCCTTGTTTATATCAAGAGAAACAACAGATAAATCCTGGAAATCCCTCATACGGGTGAATAAATCTGTGATATAATCATTGTTTTGGTCCCGCGGGTGCGTCTCTCAGCGGCTATAAAACTGGGGAGGTTGTTGCTTCCCTCCATAGTCGAGTAGTGGACGTCCAAGTGGGAGGATCTCTGTCGTGTTACTGAGGTAGGTGGTAGTGGTGGTGGTAATATACGACTGAGTCAAAACTTTCCATTTAAACTTTTTACTTTGAATATTGACTAGACTTATGACTGGCTAGCTACAATTGGGATTATATATATATATTGGTATTTATTGGTCAACTACATGACTGGCCAACCACTGTAATACCTTATGCAATGAATTTCGGGCCACATATACTGTCTTGCACACACACACACACACACACACACTTTCTTTAATGTTTAATTTGTATTTTAATTGTGATCCTCTTTCGTTATAGTGAAGGTGGTAATAGTGAAAAGGTGGTAGTGAGGGTGACAGTGAGGGTAGTGAGAGTGACGATGGTGGTAGTGAGGGTGACAGTGATGGTAGTGAGAGTGACGATGGTGGTAGTGAGGGTGACGATGGTAGTGAGAGTGACGATGGTGGTAGTGAGGGTGACAGTGAGGGTGACAGTGATGGTAGTGAGAGTGACTATGGTGGTAGTGAGGGTGACGATGGTAGTGAGAGTGACGATGGTGGTAGATGAGGGTGACAGTGATGGTAGTGAGAGTGACGATGGTGGTAGTGAGGGTGGTAGTGAGGGTGACAGTGATGGTAGTGAGTGACGATGGTGGTAGTGAGGGTGACAGTGAGGGTGACAGTGATGGTAGTGAGAGTGACGATGGTGGTAGTGAGGGTGACAATCACTTATGATGCAATTAGTCGTAGTAGTAGTAGTACTGTAGGTGTAGTGATGGTGAATAGTGTCTTTACAGTGTATTTTATCAATATGGTGTGTGTGTATGTGTGTGTGTGTGTGTCTGTGTGTGTGTAATGATAATAATAATAATAATTAACGGTTTATTGAAAGAGCATGGCAGCCGGAATAGGGAATGGATCACTTGATAAACAAATAATATACAATTAATATGTGATACAAATATGATATATAACAACAAGGTGGGATAATGTTATACTCCAGGGCATTTCAACATAGTAACAGTGCGGGTGTGAGTGTGGTGGGGTGGGGAATGTGATAACAGGATGAGGTAAGTGCCTGTGTGTGTAGGTGTGACAGGCTGACAGTGTATTGTGTATGCTTGTGTGAGTGTGACAGTCTGTGTGTGTGTGTTGGTTCTTTACTAAACATTATGTAAGTGAATTTTGCTAGACGTGAGAAAGACAGACAGAGACAGCGGGGGAGAGAGACAGTGAGAGAGAGAGAGACAGTGAGAGAGAGAGACAGTGAGAGAGAGACAGTGATAGAGAGAGAGAGTCGTCCTTGCCTGCAATTGCCACCACCACCTCATGTGATCAGCTGTTTAGTTTCGCCAGCGATAGACAACTGAACTGGTGTTATTCCTTTCTTTGTACAGACAGCCGAACAGAGAGCCGAGATGCAGTGTGTCAGCCTCCTTCTGGTGGTCATGTTGGCTGCCCTGGCCTCGTCAGCAGGTGAGAGAGAGAGAGAGTGAGAGAGAGAGAGAGAGAGAGAGAGAGAGAGAGAGAGAGAGAGAGAGAGAGAGAGAGAGAGAGAGAGAGAGAGAGAGAGTTATAAGTACAGTAAAAGAAAAGAGGGACATAGAGAAAGAGAAATGAAGTAATAACGGTAGAGATGGGTGAGAGAGAGACAGAGGGAAGTAGAGATGAAACGGAAATTATAAATGAGAGGGGAGAATGAGGTTACAGTGTGAAGGGGAGGGGAAGAGGGGTACAGTGCCATGGTCGTGTTGATAGAGAACAGGTGGTCGTACTTTAGAGGGCACTGAGTCACCATAGTTAAGGGTTTAGATCACAATAGAAGGGGTTTAGGTCACTATAGAAAGGGTTTAGGTCACTATAGAAAGGGTTTAGGTCACTATAGAAAGGGTTTAGGTCACTATAGAAAGGGTTTAGGTCACTATAGAAAGGGTTTAGGTCAGTAGAAAGGGTTTAGGTCACTATAGAAAGGGTTTAGGTCACTAGAAAGGGTTGAATACAATAGAAAGGGTTTAGGTCAGCAAAGGGTTTAGGTCAGTAGAAAGGGTTTACTATAGAAAGGGTTTAGGTCAACAGAAAGGGTTTAGGTCAACAGCACTAGAAAGGGTTTTAGGTCACTCTAGAAAGGGTTTAGGGTCAAAGAAAGGGTTTAGGTCACAATAGAAAGGGTTTAGGTCACAAGGGGTTTAGGGCCAGTCAGAAAGGGCTTAGGCTCACTAGAAAGGGTTTAGGTCAGAAAGGGTTTAGGTCAGTAGAAAGGGTTTAGGTCACTATAGAAAGGGTTTAGGTCAGTAGAAAGGGTTTAGGTCACTATAGAAAGGGTTTAGGTCAACAGAAAGGGTTTAGGTCAGTAGAAAGGGTTTAGGTCACAGTAGAAAGGGTTTAGGTCACTATAGAAAGGGTTTAGGTCACACTAGAAAGGGTTTAGGTCAGTAGAAAGGGTTTAGGTCACAGTAGAAAGGGTTTAGGTCACTATAGAAAGGGTTTAGGTCACACTAGAAGAGGTTTAGGTCACAGTTGAAAGGGTTGAGGTCACTATTCAAGTTACCAAAGTCATCATACTCTAGGGGTTAAATCATCCTGTTGTGGGAGTTTTTGTCACTGTAGGTAAGAAACTGATTTGCTTTTCCTACCACGTACAGAGACCGAGGAAGGGGCACCCACCACAACAATCGATCCCAGTAAGTGTAACAGCCATCCAGTTAATCCTGTAAAAAAAATCTTCTTCTTCTTCTTCTTCTTCTTCTTCTACATCTTCTTCTTCTTCTTCTTCTTCTTCTTCTTCTTCTTCGTCTTGTTCTTCTCTATTATTATATTATCATTATCATCACATCATCGTAAGTAATTAATTCTAACTAGTAATTCAAACCATATTTTGAATAACCTTTTGCTACAATAAGTTGGCATAATATTTTCAGAATGTGTGTATGGGTGTGTATAGGTGTGTAGTGATGTATGCGTATGGGTGTATACGTATAATACACCTGTGTACAAGGTTGAGGTACTTACAGGCACAGCGGCGAAGGAGAGGAAAGAAGAAGATGACGTGTCGTGGTGGGTGGCTGGCTGTAGGTATTACTGCATCTGGAACAAAAGACCATACTGCTGTGATGACGGCTCCGGCCCTCGTGAGTACTGCACCCTGCTAGTTATGTACACTGAATACTGTACCCTGCTTGTTATGTACACTCTGAGTACTGTACCCTGCTAGTTATGTACACCCTGAATACTGTACCCTGCTAGTTATGTACACTCTGAGTACTGTACCCTGCTAGTTATGTACACCACTAGGTCTATACAAACACTAGTACTTTAGTTATGTACTGACCCTGCAACTACCACACCACCATACTATTTTAACTACAACTACCACCACCACTAACCACCCCATCTACCACCACCACTAACCACCCCATCTACCACCACCACTAACCACCCCATCTACCACCACCACTAACCACCCCATCTACCACCACCACTAACCACCTATTTTTTCCACAGTTCCTCCTGATCACGACGTTCATGGAGGAATATTTTGCCCGCCAACAGACGACCACATCTGTAAGAAGGATGGGATTTACCTGGCCACCCAAGCTATTAAGGTGAGATACTGAGGCGCGGACAGGTCACCAATGTACATAGACAGTGCAGGTATACACACAATGTACATGACAGTGTAGATATATAAACAATGTACAGTTCTTGGCATAAATAATTCGGCATGGAGGGAGTGTAAGCTGCTTCTGCCTCATAATTAAACTTTAAAAAATCAATTTGTTGTGTGGAAAGAAAATCGCAGACGTTTAATCACCATCTCTATACGACCCTGCTAAGTCTCCACCTACCCCCTACCAGCCCATACACCACCCCTTCCTCTGCTTGCCTCCTTCCCTCCATCTCTACCTGCCTGCCTGCCGAATTCTTTTTGTCCATATCTGTTCTTAGATAGTGCAAGCATACAAACAATTTACAACACAAACAGTTCATGTATACAAAATACATACAGTGCAAATATACAAACAATGATACTCAGTAAGTCAATTTTACCAAGCATAGTCCTTTAATTAATAAACAATCCCCTGTTTTACTTCGCTATTTAAACTTGAGATTTTTTTGTGACAGACGGCGAGATACTCCGGGTCACTGCCTCTGGTGAAGGGGCAGCCGAAGGACCAGAAGATGTGTGCCTCTGATGGTTACTGTTTGGAGGATGAGAAGTGTTGCCCCAGTCCGTGTGCAGGACGACACATCTGTCTCCCAGCACTCGAGCCCACAGACGATGAGGAGGATGGAGAATTAGAACAGGAGGAAAATGATGAGGATGAAGATGAAACACAGGAAGAGGAGAACGAGGATGGAAATTTAGTGCAGGAAGAGGAGGACGAGGAATATAGTGACACAGAACAAGAGGAGGAAGAGGAATATAGTGACACAGTTCAAGAGGAGGAAGAGGAGGGTTTAGAATACGACGAAGAGCTGGACGATGAAGAACCACTGGAGGAGGAAGAGTAATGAAAGATATTAAAAAACACAGTTGTCGCTTATACTAAGATACACCGTGGCCGCCACAAATGTGTAAACAGTAAGCAATCATTTCCGATCCTGCGCATTTTTCGCTGTAAACCGTAAAGTACTCATATCAGGGGTTCAAATTTGACATACTATTTTTTTTTTAGGAATAGCTGTGTGTAAAGAATATATCTATAATTGTTTATGGTCCTAAAAATTTAAATGGCAATCTTAATTTAAACCTTCGGACTTTAATAAAAATTTCAGGTGTGTTCGGGACTTAAATGCATCCGTATTACATTATTTTTTTTATCATGTCTAAGTTCAAGAATTCAAAAGTCTTCTTGACACACACACATTAAAAAAAACCTTTTGTCGAGTTTGAACCGTTGATAGTACAGTAGTCATTAAAATTACTCCTCCCCACCCTAGTCAGTCTCTCTTGTTTACTGGAATATTTAAGATACAAAAAACAAAAAAATAAGTATAGTTTTATATGGCAAATGGTTCCACTTTTTATACCGAGTTCAACCCCCCCTCGCTCTCTCTCACGGGTCCATCATTGTATCTTATAGGGACAGAATTCTTCTTTGTAGAGCTGTTCATCATTTTATACACCTGGTAATTAAATATATATGAGTCATTAGATAGTACAATTGATCAATCACATTACCGTATATACCTGAGTATTTAAATTTTACACCTCATAAATTATACACATTAGCATTTAATTTAAAGACCTGGTCATTTAATTATACACCTGGTCACGTAAGTTTTACACCTGGGCATTTAGATTATACACTTGGTTATTTAATTACTATACACCTGGTTAATAATTATTACACCATCAATATTCATACAATAAAATTCTATTAACTTTATTCCACAAGTTGCTTACATCAAGAGAGATGCATAACAGAGACAGTAAACCATCGCTAAATCGTGGACATGAATATACTGGTTGGTTTATCACATGGACATTATTATCGCATTAAGCTACCGTATACACTATACAGTATAGTGGCCCCTGAATATAGCGGCACCAATGTTCTCACACTACCGAGATATGGCAAGCAGTGGCGGCTCGTGAAAAATAAAATGGAGGGACTGCAAGCCTCACACAACAGTAGGATACACAAATTTGACCTACCTCAGGTATGAGTTGTAGTTGATGTCCACGAATTCCCAGGGCATGGTAGTAGTGTTGGTGGTGATGGACCAGTATTAATTGAAAATAAAGTCGGCGTGTCTGCTCTTTGATGTAGCAAAATTGTTTATTACTATTTCATTAAAATCCTTTATTTCTGTTATCGTCACAACCACAGAGCCATTCACATTTCTGATAAACACTAATGTTAAACTGGCGTGTATATTCTTTGTTCCTGCTTGTACTGTTCTGTTGAATGGATAAAACTGGTGTAGGTCTTCCTCTTGCTTTGATTTCAGTCTTTTCATTTAATGTCAGCTGGGAAAAGTTGATGTTTTGCAAATACTTCACTCGATTTTCCATCGTCAAAGGGTAATTAAAGAAAGCACGATTTAACCACACCGTCCACACGTTGTACGAGACTGAGCTGCTTCAAGTGCAGCGGCGGCGGCGGCGCCAATTAATAACAGACATGAATCGTACAGCATTGACAGCAACTATGAAAGTAACTTAAATTTTGGTCTGATTTTAATGAAAATTCACTTAGCAACGTATTGAAAATAATTAGATAACATATAAAATGATATATTTGTTGGTAGTGTATTATTCAGCTGTCTCTCTACAGGAATCATACGCCTGGCAGTGAGTGTCTGGGGGACTGCAGCTCTGCAGCCCTATGCACGAGCTGCCACTGATGGCAAGTGTACAGTAGACTGTACACTCAACAAAACTAACACAGGAGGAAAATTTATTGAAGAAAATGTCTCGATATGCAATCTTTAATAGAATTTCATTACGTTTTAATTCCATTTCTCACAGTTTATTAAGATATATCACTTTTACTCAAGATTTTTCTGTTTTTTGTATTCTGTATTTATAAGTATATTCATATGGAAGCTGCTTGTACCATTCAGTATTTATATATTCGTATTTTTACTAAAGTATTTATGATTTATTTTGTTAGGCATTAGTATGTAATATGTGTTTAGATGAATGTTAGAAGAAATAAGTTTAAACTGTAACTATTAAATCTTGGCTACTGATACACTGTAGTTCATCCCATCGCTACGGTATTGATAAAATGCTTCGTGTATTCAATAAAGTACATTCTATAATATTTTGATTTGTTTTTATTTAAATACGTATCTACAGTAAGCAGCTTATATGATTAATTCACTCCAAATGTTTTTATTGTTGTTGTAAGGAACGTAGTTTAAACGCTCCAAGTTTGTTTTGATTTTAATGTTTCGTTCTTATCCTCTGCAGTTATTCCTTTGTATTAAAAGAGAAATACCTATGATTACCGTCCGACTTAAAAGAAGTTTAATATGTATAATTTTAAACTAAATATTATACATCTACAGTATATGATTTTAATTTTATTTACTATTTATATGATGAAACATTTTACCAGATGAAAACGAATCTTACCTCTGGTGTTGGTGGAAGACTCGGAGTTATGTATTTAAGTGGGATTTTAATGAAAAGATTACCACTAAATACACTGAGCTTAAAGCGGGTAATGTATATTAGAGTCCTCTTTCAGTATAATTAGAATAACAATTGTATGAATGAAGTGGGTTTATAAGAAAGTCGTATTGTTATGGTTGCAATGATGTTGATCAAGTCTGGCTCACCTTTATATCATTGTTGGTAACTTGTTAGGTGTCTTAGCACTTCAGCTCAGAGGTGTTACCTTGGTTTGGAATAGCAAGTCCTGACATTGGTTGTCTTTGATTATTTCACTGTACTGTACTATAGTACTGTACTGTATATCTAGTAGAACAGTACTGTACTGGCCATGATGAGATGCACATATTCATTTCATCCTTATCATTCTTAATTTCAGTTTATGTTGAGAACAGAAGCTATTAAATTATACAGAAATATATTACGTCAGCTGCAACATTTACCAGACAAGTCGCAGCGGAAAGAAATACAGGAGTGGGCTCGAGCAGATTTTGAAGCTCACAGGCATCATGAAGATGAGGTAATGTGCTTTAAAGGTTTTATGTTTGTTAATTTAATACAGGTATAAAATTTTATGTCTTACATCAGGAATATGAATTTCTGTCCGTTAAATTTTGTAATGTACTGTACAGTATTTATCTAATAAGTTCAGTATACTGTACTGTACTATAGTTGAAGTATTTTATTTGTACTTGTTTCCATTACCAGTTTTACTCAAGTCCACATTCAGTTGTGGTGGCATGTTCAGTATAGTACAGTATACTGTATATATTTACAATACGTATAGGTATTAAATTGTTGAATACTCCAATAATCATATGTAAGCTTAAGTGTTGAATTACAGTACTTATATTTTTTTTATTTTACTGCACATCTTGTTAAGTTGCACTGTCTTCTGTGCCTAACTAAATTTGCTGGTGGAAAATTTATTTTATTTTTCATAAAGCTGTAGTTTAAAGTAACTCTTCTCTACAGGAGGTCATCAAGCTGCTCATCATACAGGGGAATAAGCAATTGGAAGAACTTGAAAAATCTATAAAAATAGCTAAGTAGTAGTTCTGTATTTATATTTTTAATGTTTATATTATGTAGATAATAAAAAAAAATTATTTATCAACTGTTTAACACTTTTGGGTTTGGGTTGACGCTCTCCCGTGAGACGCTCGGAGTCTTGCCTGTTATTCACCTCACCGCACTTGACTGCACCACACGAGACATAATTGTACATAATGAGTCATAACAGGCTTGCTATTTGAAGTAAAAATATGGTAAATTTTGCATTAACATTGTAAATAAATTATCTGCCAATACTTTTAAAAGAATTATTATGATAAACTAATTATTTCTATACATTAGCGTGAATAGAAGGCATTAGCATGCACCACACTTTTACCACGTGGAGTAATCTCCTTGCACTTTTCACGTTTCCCATCCCTCCACCCTTGCCAGCAACACGAGGCATGGTTCAAAACTTTTACAACACTGTGAAATGACTGCGATGAACGAGAAATTAACATAAGAAAATGTGTGTCTTGTGTATCTAGCGTTCATACGCAAACAAAATTATTTAATTAAAATTTTTTACTTTATACGCAAATTTGTGTATGAAAACCCTAAAGCGACAATTTATATCCTACACAATTTTGCATATGAAAACTCCGATAGTGTTAATATAAATTGTGCATTTATTAAGCTAATCTGAATAATATTGAAAAAGCCAACAGTAATATTTAAAGTGGGATATACAGCACCTTAGGTAAATACAGGAGTCACAAGGAAACATTGTACTCTCTGTAGCCTAAAATAAGTGGATATCTCAAGAGAATGTGTGTTATGTTCTATGCAGGTATCCCTTGCTATACGAACGTTCAAGCTATGAAAATTCGCTTATACAAATTTCCTATTCTTACACCCCTTTCTTATTAAACAAAAGTTATTCTTATTTATACAAATTTACTCCCTTAAGGTAATGTATCATATTTATATTTTCTTAATTTTTTAATGTGTTAGGCTCTACATTACCATAGTTAGGTACTAATTTAAAGTAGTTAGGTGGGGGTTTTTGTTTGTTAACATACTTTTTTTTTAGGTTCTGTACTCGTACAATATTGGGGTTTTCTTGTCGTTGGGGAACCGAACACAATTTTTCCCATATGTTATGTTATTTGAGATATGAAAATTCACCTAACGAATTATTTTCAAGGCACCTAATCCCTATGTAAAGTGAAGGATACCTGTACAGTATATTGTTGTCACATTTTCCCCTTGTATGTGGGGAAGGGGAATATGGTGCCACCTGCCCCTGGTCTTAAAGTGTTACTGGAAAATTAATAAGAGCATGATGATCTGGCTACTGCTGTATGGATGTTGCTACTGTATTAGAGAGACAATGACAGATCAGGATTCATAATTAATATTTTTGGCTCGCCTTTTAATTTCTGTACAGTATTCCTACTGGGTATTTTGAAGATTTTTTTCTTCTGTTTTTTCACATTAGCTCACCTGGACACAGGTAATTTTTAATGACTTTCACATCAAGGCCTGGGGGGCGAAAATATAATAAAATAATAATAATGATAATAATAATAATAATAATAATAATAATAATAATAATAATAATAATAATAATACTGTAATAATAAAATTAATAAAAATAAATACAAATAAATAACAATTTTAATAAAATCAAATAATAATACTAATAAAAATTATAAAAGACGATATTAATAATAAAAATATATCAAGAGTGAGAAATGACATATGTATGGTGTGTTGTCAAAGTAAGAGAAACAGTTGAGACCCTGCAGTTGTGTATTAATGAGGCAGAAAGTCAGATCAGCAACCTGGGACTTGGTCACAATTTTTGTGATGCCAAATGGCATTAGGGTTTACCATTAGATAACACATTATGCTTCCAAAATGTTCCCAGGCGATAGTACCTCCCTGTTTGGTAGCTGCCTACAACCTACTGTTTATTCAGTCATTACTTAGGAGACATGATAAGTTGTGATGGGGATGCTGAAGTCTGCTCAGTTACATGAGTCAAAAGTGGCTGGAGGAAGTTTAGAGACCTGCCCTCTGTGTGAAAGGAAGAATTTATAAGGCTGGCTTGAGAAATGTGATGTATGGCAATGAAACAAAGGCAGTTTAAAAGGATGACATAAGCAGACTTGAGTCAGCTGAAATGAAAATTGTGAGGCACTTGTGCAATAAGACACTGGAGGCCATGTTCAGAGCTAAGAGGGCAGCTAGGTATTGAGAGTACATATTGAAAAAGCTTTGCATAGAATTAGACAGATATGATTTGGAAAAGTGGAGAAAATGGACTAGACCAATTATGTCAAGAGGTGCATGATCCTAAGAGGAGAGTAGGGGCTGGCCAAGAATGTAAGAAATGACGTTAAGAGTTAAAAAACTTGACAAGAGGGAACGCGGTAGGGATCACAAAGTTTGGAGAGTTGCCAGCAGGTAATTGTGGCTAACCCTCGCAAGTGTGGAAAATAGTTGTCATATGTTGTTGATGAAACATTTGCTCACAAACCTGTCCTTCCCTTCAGAATTTGTTACATAATATATTTTGACCAATTTGAGTCAAGACCATCAAACACATAAGAGTTATTTTCCACTCAAAGGCAATTAAGACATTACAAATTTTCAAAACTTTTTATTTTCAAAAATTTTAATCTAAGAAAAAAAATTTACATTTAAAATAGATCAACACTACTGATCAGCACCATGTAATGAAATACCTGTATTGTATACCATTCTTCTTACAGTACATAAAATCACAGCCTATGCAATCAATTGTATTCCTCTATGTATGTTACATAATTTTTAGTAAAATGAAATTTACAATACAATATATATATATAAATAAGTCTAATAAGAACTAATCCATATACAGTACATTCACTATGTATTTCCAGTATTCATAGCAGCTTTAAAAAGAAACCTTGGTAAATACAATTAATGCAAGTACATCCCTGCCTATTCCTCCATATAAATATACAATATTAAAAACTATTAAATCTGATCTATAATCAATCCTCCCTTTATGTCAGCAGTAAAGGTCTGAGCTACAGTAAGATACTTCACGTTGATACAGCACTTCACCTTGTTGTTAAGAAATTCACACACCCAGGACATACAGTACATTAGATAATTATATATTATAACAGTGGTCTTACTTTTCAAAATCAAGAATGTATCATTCTCACTAAAATCAGGTGAGGCAAGTAATGTTAACTCCTTTGTCTTTGAGGATTCTGGGCGTGTTCCTGAGAAACTCGCCGCCCAACCTTGGGTATTCATTAAAATACATACAAATCATTGATACTGTACACTAAGGATGAAGGTTTCTCGCCCCAAATTGATTTTTGCAGAGATTTTGCCAATAGTGTAGCGCAGATGTAGTTAAACTCTATAAATTGTTGTATATTTTACATAATGGATTAATCAAATTAAAATATGGGAATATCCCTATTGAATATGGATCAATTACCTGTAGTAATAATTATTGCCATGCAAGTATTGTTAGATCTAAATAGTAGTGTTGATCCAGTGTACCAGACCTCTTAAATGCTGATGTTCAGTCCAATGGCAGAAACATTTCATGAAAAAAATCTATAAAAATGGAGATACTGTATTACAAACAGTTCCATGATATAATAATTCTTATCTTATCACAGCTTGCAAACAATATGATCAAAAGTATGTGAGGAGCATTTGTTTTAAAGTGTAATAGATCAATGAGTCTTCAGTATTTGTGATAAAAGTTGATTCTTCCAACTGAACATAAAGTTGTGCAGGGACCTGTGTAAACAATAAAAGTACAGTAAGGAAATAGTAACAGGTACTATACATCTTTCACAAAGGCAAGACTACACTGTATGTTCAAACCCTTAACAGAACCTCGTAAATTTTTTATGACGTTTCTCCAGGTAAATTGAACAACAGACTATGAAAAGTCTTCACCAATATTTTCATTTGTGACATTTTTACCTTGACTAATAAGTGTGACAAATTCATCTCACTGATAAGAAAAACCTCTTGCTTTATATATATTATTGCTATTAGTGATCATTTTTAATACAGATGCACTAAAGCAAGAAATAAAAATATTCATAATAACACTATAATACCTTTGGCAAATCAATGGAAGCGTAGCAATAATGTGTATCAGTTGAGTTACCACTTCCTGTAGTATTATGCTTTTAAACACATCTTTTGAGAGAACATTTAAGCTGCATCAAAAGATCTTCCAAAATTTATGATATGTTCTTCACACTTTAAAAAATCATATATTTCTAATTTGTAAAGCAATGTAATGTGTAAGCAGATTAAAAAGGTTTGTGTGTTAAAGGACATTTTCAATGGAGGAGTATTTATAGTACAGTATTGAGATCAAATTGTAAGGAAGTGGTAGTGCGAGTGTGTTACCAAAGTAATGATGTAGTTGGCCAATTTGATTAGATATATACCGGTATAGTATAATAATGTGTCGTAAAGCCTGGCTCTAGCTACAACCACTAAAATTGCCTTGAATCCTATTTTGGACATTACTGTTGAACTAATTTGTAAATTATCTCATTAACAAAACTGTCACAGGTACAGATAGCTCAACACCACAATGGTCATGACTGTTAGAACTAGTATGGACACGAGGAAGTAAGTCCGAACAGGAATCCATAATATCTTGGCTTGCAAATGTAAACTAGAAACATACAATAAGAAGGAATCAATGTCTGGTTGAGGTGTTGACTGGTAGCCAAAGGGTCGACCATGCAATTGGCTCCCAGCCTGAGAATTCAGAAAATTATAATCAGCTTTGTTAATTAACAAAGAGTATTATAATACACAAATTATTTTCCTCAAGGTTAAGTGCTTTTTGGGCTAAAAATTATGTCTCATAAGATAATTCAAAATCAAGCAAAAATATGAGCAACTGATATAAAAAAACCACATTATTCTTACAGCCTTCTACATCTGTAGTACAATAGTAGTTCAAGAAACTAACAACTGCAACAATACTTAAATGAATTACATGCAGTCCCTAAGGTATATCAAAGTTGTTTGTTGGATCTTTCACATTGTAATGTGTGGAGAGAGAAAAGGCTTTGTTAAGTCTTTTTTAAGAAAGGAAACTTGCTTTGAAGGCAAAACCTGGTATGTACAGTATATAAGATGAAGATAGACCTAGAGATAGACAGAGGTGGGACAAAAGTACAGTAGTAAGATATCCTGATTTTTCTCACCTTGCTTAGAGCCCGGTAATTACTGGACACCCAGGCAGCCATACAAAGGGGCATGATGGTAAGCAGCAGCCATGGTAAGAGGTTGGTGATAATTGCTGAGATGTGAAGCCACAGTCTAGCTTCCTCCACTGTTGTGTACTCAAATGTGTAAAATCCTTGGCTATTTCTAGAATCTATATGCATACTACCACTAGCAAGAGCTGCTGACATCTGTTAAAATATGAAGATAATAATAAAATTAAAAGTATACCATGTCAGTCCTATAAAAAACTCATCAAGTTTGTAAAATAAAAAATTACAGTACCTGTACAGTACAGGTATCCCCCATGTTACAGAAACTCAGGTTGTGAAAATTCGCCCACACGGAATTTGTCAATTACAGTACAGCTGCTCCCCGACTTACGACGGGGTTAGGGACCGACATCCAGGTCGTAAGGTGAAATGGTCGAAAGTCAGAAATGCTTAAATAACACATAGAAAATCTAAAATGGGGGGTCTCTTTTTCTTCTCAGCATCACAAAACACTCACTTTTAAGCTTGCCAGCCATTTAAAAGTGAATTACAGATGAAAATTTTGTCTGTGTACTGACTTTGGGACTGGAAAATACGTAATTTGACCAAATTTTGGTACAACTAAGGCAGGTCGTAAGTGCGGGTGGACGTGAGTCGAGTAGGTCGTAAGTTGGGGAGGGGCTGTATATACTCTCGATTAATAGAATCTGATATAACAAACTTTCTATTTAGCAGAAGGAATTTGTTCTGCTATTTTTTGCCCGAGATTAATTCCGTTAATACACTCATACCTACGGAAACACCTCAGACACATGATATGTAGTACATAGAAACATTATTCATGGCTTACATTAAACTAGGGGGTTCAGTGTTAGTTTTCAACTTTTTTCTATAATTTCCAAACCTTTTTCCCAATTGATAGCTGCACTCTTTTGACTTTCTTCCCCACACCATTTCCTTTCTGAGACTTCTGAGAGACTTTCAGCATGATGTCTAAGCACAGTAATTAGTTGACTGAGAGGTAGCAGTGAGCAACACACGCAGTGGCGGCAGAACACAGACTGAGCGGATGTAAACCAGCTCTACGCGCCAAGCGGAGCATTTGACGCAGAAAATAACAGAATCATGCTCGATTTAGTGAACTACAAGTACCTGTACAGGTAGTTTGCTAAATCGAGCAAAAATAACGAAATGTTCAATTTAGCGGAGATTTCGATTTAACGGAAAGGGGTGGCTCGAATTAGTTAGTTAAATCGATAAAATACTGTATGACCACTAAGTTTGGAATATGGCCCATAAATTCAACCTTACGGAAATGAGATAATTTTTTTAAAATTCAACCTAACGGAAATGGGGTATATTTTCATAAATTCAAACTTATGGAAATGGGGTAAACTTTCAGAAATTCAACGTTACGGAAATGGGGTAAATTTTCAACATGAAAATCACTGTACTGTATATGTATTAAAAAAAGTCACTGACATTATAATTTTTTTTTTCAATTTCTTGGTGTTTTCTACCACCAAGTGTGGGTATGCAGCGCATCCACGCCGCTGGACTCGGTTTGTTTATATCTCCCAACATATACGCTTGTTCTATCGGTCCCAGCTCTTGGATTTAACTCTTATTCAAGGCTGTCCAGTGTATTACCCTTATTCGAGATGAGTGGAAAGAGGCCAGCAAATGAAAGCATTGGTGTTAAAAGATCCTGTAAAGGAATTACGTTGGTTATAAAACTTGTTTTTTTATGGAGTTTGGTGTGGGAGAAAAACTTAGCCAGATTGCAAAAACATTAGGGCTTGCTACTTCTCCCAATAACTCCAATTGCACCACCTCACCTCATGCACTCATGCAGCACTCAACATCGTTTGTGGTCGGTTAAATTCAAGTGTTTTGTGTATTTATTACCATTTCATAACAAAATAATTAATGTTTACACCACTGTATTTTCATTCATAAATGTGCTTGTATTACTTATTTTTTGGGGCCAAAAAAGTTTCTTTAGGGATGCATCTCTAATTATATAATGGAAGTCAATGGGAAAATGAGGTTCACATTACGGAATTTCGCGTTACGGTCAACTTTTTAAGTTTGCATTCCTTCTGTAACCCGGGGATTATTGTATTTAATTTACATTAAACTATGGAATTTGGAATTAAAAGTGCAATGTAAATTATTGGCCATAACAATAGTTTATTAATAAAACATCTAATTTCCATAAATGTAAACTTAGTTTCCTCAGAAAACGAGAAAACATTAACATTTTGCATAGAGAGTACAGATTATTGGCCCTAGTGTCTGTTACTGTATTGATTAAAAATAACTTCTTTTAAAAATTCTCTTCCTGATGCTCCACTTACTGATACCAATTAAAGGGAAGATGACAATACTGCATCACTTACTCCTGGCAATTCATAATGTTTTATTGTAGAGAAGAGGCTTGATGAAGCTGTAATTGCTCTAAAAGCTGCGAGGCAAAGGTATAACCCAACACTTGACCCTAATTCTTGATTCAGGTGACGCAGAAATCTTGAAGTTTCATCAATTTGCTGAAATAAGAACACATTTTAGGAACAAACAAAAAATATTATTTGATATCTCATTCAAGCACTAGACAAGAAGCAGGAAAATGTATGATTGAATAATGGAACCCTACATTATGACCGAGGGGAAGCAGTGAGTGAACTGTGGGACCCACAACACTAAATACCCTCACTACTGTTGAGAAAGGATCCTTATTTTAATGTTAGGCTACACTTCCCAGCCAAGCAAGCCAAATAATATTTTTGTTATGAGCTGCACTTCTCCCTGAGTAACCGAGCTGGTGTTTTATTTCCCAAAGTTGAAGTTTTTAAGATTATCAAGGAGGCTGTCCTCCCCAGAGTATACAGTACAGTGAGTTCTGCTATAACGCGTGTTTTGATAACGCGAATTTGCTCTAACGCGATTTATGAATAGAGGAACGATATTTGTATAACGCGAACGCTTGTTTGCTGTAACGCGATTTTTGCTTACTATTTCTCCAATTTTGTGGTACTAACTGTGAATATGGTAAAGAAGAATATCTCCAAGAAGCATTCTGGTGATCGAATTCCCGGTGATGATCGTAAAAGAAAGGATATAACACTTGAAGAGAAGCTCGATGTTATCAACCTCAAAATCACCCTTCTCCCCCATCAAGTTATATTCATATTTTTTCAAGGTAAAGTATTACATTTACTGTATGATTTCATTATTAGATATGAATGTAACATTTATTTAGACTGTGCTATCCTTTGTGTTAGGCTAACTACTAATTTTTTTTCGATTTCGAGTAGTAATCTGCACCTAACCCTATTTTCTCCATAAGCCCTGTTATTTCTATTACGCGATTTTCTATAATACGATATTTTACAAGAACACAACTATCGCGTTATAGCAGAACTGACTGTACCTACTTTTATGTGTACTGTACTGTATGTATTTTATCTTTAGTTTTATGTGTGCAAAAATGGAATACAAGACACATGAAACATCCGCTGATCATGACCTCTGTGTAAGAGTTAAGTGAATACGTAACTTAAACTCTTACAATGACATATGTTTTATCCTAAAAAATAATAATATTAAATACAAGGTTGAACCAAGCCTGTTTGAACTAGTAAGTGACAATGATGATTCAAGGTTCACTGAGCTGAATAGAATGACTCACCTACTTCAAGCTCTCATCAGCCATAAAGGAAATTTAATACTTATACATTCTCAATTCCTGTTGATTTATTGCTAAATCTAAAATAAAATACAAATTTCTGTTTACTTATATTTACTAAGCAATTTTATCCCTTTTCAAATACTGTACAGTATGTCGAGATGTATCCTGCAAGAACTACAAAGTATAATGAATGCACTACAGGGGCTTTTTGTTATCATTTATAAAATAAAATACCTTTTTAATGCCCATGAGTGAAGTTGCACCCTGATACAATGTCATTCTGATGATCTCCAGAAGCCTTGAGAGCAAGTGACACTGTGTACAGTACAACAGTACAGCAGTTACCATCACAATGTCCTCCAGCCAGAGTGATGCCAGGGCTCCACCACACAGGAGAATTTTAGCTGTCTCACTCCTGTAAGATTCATAAATACAGTACAGGGTATAAGAAATTTTCTGTATCACCACAGCCTAATAACAAGTCTACATCAGGAACCAATTATCTAACCAGCAGGGTGGACCAAGACGAATTTTCAGATTTTATGTTGTCTTTACTTCTCTATACTGTATATTATTTAAATTCATTCACCTCTGATGAAAATCTTCTTATATACTGTACATCCTATCCTTGACATAAATATTTCCTTCATGTTTCCTCTTCCTTCAGTTTTAAGAACGTTTTTATTCAATTACCTAGTTTTGATGGATGCTTTAATAATGGGGGTTATTGCTGGTGAAGTGGCAATTATCAGTGGAGGTCAACTTATTTATTCTGATGGTCGAGCAACTGGGTTTCAATATCCTACTACTGTAGTATGAGAAAATATACTCACAAGTAATACATTGTCTGAATTATCTGTTCTGTTAGTAGTACCACAAGGGCTAATGTCATAAGAATAATCTAAAAAAGGAAGAGTTAAAACATTATGCTTTCAAAGGCACAGTAGCTTATAATACCTTGACTTCACCACTTTTGAAAATTCTTCTTTATATTTTTTTACTTTTATCTAGGCCTGTTTTTCCCCATTACGTACTGCCTTTTCTTCTCTATCTACATAAACTCTTTTTGCGTAGATGTGGAAAGATTTCTTCAATTATTTTCTCCCCATTCATTATCCAAACATATGTGTAACTTCTAAATTACTTCAAAGGACAGAATATTGGAAGTGGCGAGGTCAATACTTACTGAGGCTGAATGAAGGTATATGAAATTTGTGTAGCTGCAGACAGGTGGAGGATCATGGAACCCAGGGAGAGAGTCAAACACATAACGCCCATCATCAGCCACCCCACAAAAATACACCAAAGGCGACGCTGCTTCACCAACTCCCACGGAGAACATGAAGCTAACAAATATACCTGGAAGAGCTTGCATGTTAGTCCATCTTGGCTGAATTTCCTCATGATTTCCTTATCATTGACATTTTTCTATATACTGTACTGCATAATAAACATAACACTCATTAAGAATCAATTATCTCAACAAATTTACACAATGTACAGGTATAAGGTATGTGAAAGAAAACAAAAACATGGGGTTAAGGCACATAAAAACATATAACCACATACCCTCTCTAATAATGTCTGCAGGTGTTCTGACTCCCCCAACCTAAGAATGATACATGTTACCAAGAAGGCAAAAAAAAACATGAGACTGGGAACGATGTAGATAAAGATCAAACTCCCAGAGCACAAATGACTGTCTCCATCACCTGGAAAAGAAAACTGACTTATTCATCTTTCTCTAATAATCTACATCTAACACACTTCTTTACATATAATGTCATGTTCACTACAAGACTCACTTTAAAAGTTCACAGATTGGTACAGGTTGAACCTCGTTAATCCTGGAAGCTTGGGACCAGACAGGTTCTGGATTATCGAAAATTCTGAACCATTGAAACCGAGATTATAAAGAGGCACACAAGGTCCGGACCGATGTACCACTGCCTAATTTCTTCAGTATACAGGTAGGCACCTTTCCTAAAATAGTTAGTCGCATGCTTACATGTTTTGCCACATTACAACCACTTCCACTGCTTGCTGGTCTCTTAGGAGGCATATATAGGGGTAAATTAAAAGTATTTAAAGGTGAAATAGTAGCAACATTCACTAGAAGTGAGCTATTGCACATATTTGGTCACAATGTGACTCAATTCTACATCATGGTATGTGTACAGTAAAAAGAATTAATGGATAAACATTAACATGAAATCCCAGCAATGGAATAACATGTAGGTATTTTTTTTTTTTGGCTGCATTAACCATTTATTTGACTTTTTTTTATGCTAAGCTTGTGACTAAATAATTATGTACAGGGCAATTTAAAAAAAAAATTAACAAAACAAGTTCAGGAACTTTTGAAAAATTTCTATCATCAACAATATTCATGTTGTCTTTCTACTTAAGTTTGTTTTTTTATTACTGTACCTATATATAATATGTCTTTAGGTGATTTTGGAAACGAACACAATAATTGATGCTTACACTATAAAGGAATGATGAACAACTTACTATACACAGAAGAATTTCCAAAATGGATCTGCACATCATTTCCTACTCCTTGATCCCTCCTGAAAAAATAATAAGAGTACCACAATAATCTCCAGTGACTAACTCTTATCTTGTATGTAATGTCTCACCACCTTAGTAGACTCCCCTGAAGGTAGTAGGTATTAGGCAGCTACCAAACAGGGAGGTACTACCGCCTGGGAAGATATTGGAAGCATAATGTGTTGTCAATGGTAGACCCTGCTGCCATATGGCATCACAAAAATTGTGACCAAGTCCCAGGTTGCTGATCTGACTTTTTGCCTCATTTACACACAATTGCAGGGTCTCAATTGTTTCTCTTACTATTGACAACACAACATATATACTGTATATTGTGTCTCACTAAATTTTTTTTCAATTTGTATTTTTTTATGGTTCTTTATTATTATTATTATTATTATTATTATTATTATTATTATTATTATTATTATTACATTTTCGCCCCCTAGGCCCCGATGTGGGTCAGTGACCTGTGCCTGGGTGGGCTGATCCCCGTAAAAAAAAAAAAAAATGTGAGCGGTTTCATCACTACATACTGTATATCTCTTTTGCCCTCTCTATTACCCTTGTCCTCTCTCCTGGCCTCTGGTTGAACTAAATATCAAGGAAAAAGCTAATCACTACTATAAGACACAAAGAATATTCTATGGTATATTTTAACATTACACATTTTCTAGCAAAGTACAACATGAAGATCAAAGGATTCAACTCTTTGGTTTAATTAATGCACAAGCAAAATACTTACCCAGTCTCTTGACTACTGTACAATATTATTAATTAAGCCATCATACAGTATAGGGATATATATATTTGAGGAGTCCCATGCATGGAAATAAAACTGATGAAGAAAAATGAATGTGAAGGAGGAAGTACAAAGAAATACTGTAATGAAATAGGATACAGCACTAAAGTAAGAGTGCATTTAGTTTGAGATCTTGAAACAGACACTAAATAGCACAATAACGTAACTTTAAAAAAGAACAAAAAGTATGTAAAGGAAATGTTACTGAAAGACTGTTTTTTGTACATCTTGGTTTATATTTTTAAATATCTTTCAAGACAAAGGTTTAGCCAAATTACTTGAGGCAAATGTTGTACTGCAGAACTGGTCCTATGCAGAGGCAAAGTAAGAAGAAGATAAAGTATACAACATTGAAGACCTTCAAACAGAGAGACTGTTCAGCACCATCCTTATTCCATGAGCGATATCCTGTAATATTGATAAAACAAGGCAGTATTAGTATCTTTGGTGAATGCATAATGGACTTAAACAATATAAAAAAACCAGTTGTCTATTATTCCCACAATATTCATCAATAACTCGACTAACACTATGAGACCCTAAACCAATCCCTTTAAGTTTTCCCATTTTACATTTATTTCATTGATTTTTGTAAGATTTTTTAAGTCCTACTCAGTGTACAGTAGTATAGAATTCTTATACAATATAAAACAGTAAACATTTCTTTAAATATACACCACACTATATTGTATACAGTACCCTGTTCTTATAATCCTTATGCTGTACATTATAGGGCTGTAGATATGTCTTTCAGGTGTCAATTTCCCCAAACCCTTTATTTCTCATTTGACAAAGCCCATGCCAACCACAGTTTTGTCAACTGAGAGAATCCTGGAACATAACCCCACAGTTGGTGAACAATTACTACACTGTATTTTGGATAGATAAAATGGCTTCTTTGTGGAATATTTTATTATTCCCTCTCAGTAACATATTATAATCATTTCTTCATCTAAATTTATGATTTCTCATTCCCTCTGGCCACTCCTCTTTAAGACAAAGCTACATAAAAATCACCAGGTGACCCTGTCAAAACATGACACTTTGGCCAGCTCCACTTTTACCCACACACACACACTCTCACAACCACTTCTACTGACACTCATTTCTATTGTTTTATTGGTTAAATATCCATCACCCTAGTCCTTTGTCCTCATTATGCACTAATAATACATACCTAGGACGGCAAAGATAATATCACGAGGTTTGAGTATCATTCTTCGACAGTAGTGAAGTGTGGCGGCTGTGTTATAGGACTCTCCATCACACTCTGTAATCATTACTGCCTGAAAGAAACAAATGCCATCTCAAAATTTACTGCTTTATTTTCCATTATTCCATCATCTATCCTTATCTACTTGTAGTTAGTGTGCTGTGTTTAATTAAAGATGTAGACCGATTGATAAATTAATTGTATAATATTTTTCTTTTCTTTTTTATATACAGTACAGTACTGTATTTCCTAACAATTGTTTAAAAACACAAAACGCAATTGAATTCCTCTAATTCAATAACTTTGGGGCTTTACCCTTGTCAAGTTATTCATTGTCTGAAATTGGTCGGTGAATTCGGACATTTCAAGATAGGGTTTTTTCCCCACCAACTCAAGAGGTTAATTCTGAGAGTACAAAAAAGTAAACCCAATTCTGATTACCCCAAAAATTTGGACCATGACAACTGCCACTGATTCTCATAAGTAGACAACATTTGATATGGACAGAATTAACTTATAATTATACTGCATATAGATAAAATACAGAAAACTGGTACATTTTTCCACATGATTGATGAATGGTGCATAAGGGAGTAACGCAAAAAATAATACAGTACCTGTACTGTAGTAGTATATGTATTACTGTACTGTACTGTATAAAATGAAGATTTATTCACCTTGCTTGACTACCACCTGCACAAGAATGTTCAGACAAAGGATCCTTCTACGCTAGGGCTATGTGGTGATGTTCTGTTGTGTGGGACCACAAGTATCAACTTGTTGAACGTCTGGGTAAATTCAGCAACTGCAGCGTAAGTCGGACATTTGGGACTCTTAAGTTGAAAAATTGATGAGTTTAGTAATTTAACATTACCTAAAATGTCCTAATTAGAAGGGTTCGAGTATACAGACTGCCAAATATCTTTGGCATAAACAATATGGTAAAGAGGCAAGTACCACAAGTCAGCAGTTGCCTCCATACAACAGATAAAAATATTTCTCCTTTATAAAAAAGAAACAAAGGTTTACTGAGAAAAATGCCATTTCATTCTAATTATTCCTGTTTATTTTTTTACACTGGAGGAGAGACATCAAAAAGAGTTTTTGATAAAAGAACAGTGATATGTTAAAGGCACTGAGCATTTCCTTTATAAATTACAGATTTGAAGTTGAATTCTGTTATCAGCTTTTATGAATATTGTACTGTTATGGGATAAGATATTAGTTTACAGTACCTCCTGAGAGAAGACCTCATCTCCATTTGTGTCTACTGCAATGGCCCCTGGTGGCTCAACTGAAGCTGCCATAGGATGTACACGAACCTCCAGAGAACTAATTCTTGAGTGTGGGACTCGTTCATCATCAGTACTCTCTACACTGCCTTCTCTTACTCTTACACCACCTTCACTTGCGTTTATCATTATTTCTCTTTATCTGAAATAAAATAAACATTAGGTAAACAAAAGTAGAAAAACACTTACTATACTCTATGTGCTTATTGTTGTTGCTGATACAAACTTTTGAAATAGCTAAGTACAATACATTACAGAAGTTTATGTCACCTTTTCGTGTATGGACAATTACCATATTAAAAATAATAATGTATCCAGAGACCCTGAAGTATTTACAACACCCAGCAATAAAAACACAACCTCATTACAGGTCCAGCTCTTTTAACCATAAAATATCATGAGGACTCCTTAACATCTCTATTGGTATTTGTATTATATGCATTAAAATAATATAAATTCGTATTGATCCATCAAAAAAATTATGAAATGAAAGTGGCGACTGTCTCCTTCACCTTAACATTTTCGACAGCAGACATTACCAAGCACAAACACCTAACCTAACAATCACTGGTTAAATCTTTGAAAGTTTGGTTCATTTTGCCAGATATTATATATGATGGATCCAGAACAATGATAATAAATATAACCATTATCTTCCTCAAGTTCATCTCGCAGCACAAACAGCAGGTATATTCCCTTGTATTGATCTTGTTCCTTAACTAGTATGCAAGGTATTTCTCCGGGTCCTATTTTGAAGACTTTACCTACAATATATGGATAGAGCCTTTGATAACGTGGTTCAGCTTAAACTTACCTAGGTCATGGTGAGATGAGGGAACAGGTGAGGTGGCTACAGGTATCAGCAACAGGTCACCATACACACACCTGCGCCTTACTGGATTTGTTTACAGTGTGGGGCGGGGTGAAGGTTTGGGTGGGGAGGGGGGTGAGGGTTTGGGTGGGGAGGGGTGAGGGTTTGGGTGGGGAGGGGGGGGGGGTGGTTACTGTCACCACCACCCGCTAACACTGCCCACCTACTGCCGCCTTTCAATTATTAATTATTCTAGTGTTATTTAATACAAAAAAGTTATGTAGTAATATTTCATTGTGGAAAATAGATATATTAGGTCAATTACTGCATTTATTCTTTTATAAACCTAGTCAATGTACAAGTGTAAATATATCTCGAGGACTTATTGGAAGATCGTTTACATACCTTGAGGGGCCGTCCTTTGAACCCTCTTCAATGGTGAGGCGCTCCCCCGCCGCCTGGAGTACTACAACCCCGTCAGGTCCCTAAGATATGCTGGAGACTGTCAATTGAATGAGAACGTCCAAAAGAGGGCCGCCAAATTGGTGCCTGCGCTCCAACACACCAGGTACCAAAAATAGATTAAAACTTTTGCACTTGTCTAGCTTACTTACAATATTGGAAATGTTTAGACAAGTAAGACGTAATTTATTAAAGTCAATAGACACCTCCAGTATTCTTATCTGGAGTTACCGGATGCCTGCCCCACCAGTGCAGAAAAGTGTCAGAAGGAACTTTAGGTTAAGAGTTATGAACTCTTGGAACAATCTGTCAGTGTTGTGATGGCAGTGACGCCACCGTGTGTGAACTCTTTAAGATCAGCAAACTTGACCAACACTGTCACATGTTCAGACACATTATCGAGCCAGTACATGCTTAGTATGTGGCAATAGTGCGTAACATACATGACCGACCACTCAAAGTGCCGACCAATGGCGAAGAGGATAATGTAATATTAGGTAATGTGTATGGTATGTGTTTCATATAAGGATTACATGAAATAACATCGCGTTTAAGGAAAAATATGTTGTGTTCTTATTAAGAGATGATAACAGTACGGTACTGGAGGTAGATATATGGTGTATATAATAACAAAGTCAAAGGTTACAATGGGTTGTAAAGATGCACTCCTAACTTTATTCAATATAATTGCTAACGTTTATTACGTAAACAGACAGTTCTAAATACTAAATGGTCATGATTTCACGAATAGAATAAATATTCCGAGACTAAAAAACTCAGATTTTCCTTCTACAAAACAAAACCTGCTCGTATTAATCTAATCAAAGAAATGTCTAACTAATCCTAGTCAAACCAATCTTATGTATAGTTTTACCTCAATTAAATTTATTTAAATTAAACCTAAGCATCAGTATGTACAGTCTCGTTCAAGATTCTTCGAACACTGCTGGAGACATATAGCAACTCAAGGCCGTTAGTTTACTATAGTACGTAGTATAATATAATACGAAACAACAAAGCCCAACCATTAAATTAAGCAACAGGGAACTAAGTAACCAATCACCGATCACTTTTACATTTATTCATATTTTTTACTACGTACTATAGTAAACAAGCGGCCGTGAGTTGCCTTATGTCTCCAGCAGTGTTCGAAGAATCTTGAACGGGACTGTACATGAATGCCGAAAAAGATTGGTTATATTGGCCTCTTCAACAACTGTAATACCGGAACGTGTTACCAAGTGGTCAACAAACCCTCTGGAACCCGTCATAATACACGCTCGGGTTTTGGGTCCAGAGTCTCGAAAGTTTCAATATTTTCTCCCTCTAACAAATATAAGGTGAGATCTGACCATCGTTTATGTTTCTCCTTGGCCGGGCTCTGTAGTGTTAATTGCCGTCTACAGTATATACCAGAGATTGTAAGGGGAGCGTCAGGTATATCAGCCAGCCCAGCAGCTGACTCATCTCTGCCTTTGTCTTCGTGGATACTGAAGATCTGTTCATGCCCAGTGTGTACCATAACTATGAACACTGTTGAAGACCTCCGTAGATGAGTTCCGAGTGACGAAATTGGGATGTAGTAACTCTTTGAAAACATCGTGATAAGACATGAGTAATAAGACTTACCCAACAGAGATTAATTATCATCCTTTTCGCGATACTGTGGAAGTGCCTAGCTTAGCGGTGAGACACAACCAGTTATGTGCAATACGGCCACAATCAGTCCTCCCCCTTATCACAGACATGACTCACAGAGGGGAAACGATGGTTGGAGCTGTGATAACGTCTAGTGTGTGTGTGTGTGTGTGTGTGTGTGTGCGTGTGTGTGTGTGTGTGTGTGTACAAAACCCTAGTATTATGACAAGTTTGAACACCTGATCTTAAAACATGTACAACAACTTATGTGTGTTGCGAACTATAAAATTGTATACTGTATATCTCTCGTCTACACGCCTGAATTTTTAGTACGTGTTTAAAGATCATAAGTTCAGAGTTGGCATAATGTTAGTTTTGGAGATCATAAACACATTGAACGCCTCCTTCACACACACACGCACACGTTCCATAAAGCATTACCGTTCACACACACACACACATTCCATAAAGCATTACCGTACCAACAAAGAACCTCTACTCTGTCTCTTTAAACATTAAAAAATTATGTCAACAAATGTTTTTTTTTTCAATGATGAATAATTTAACACTAACCTTTACTGGTGGTGGGCAATAGTATTACGTTAATAATATAGTGATGCTGTGAAGGTGGAGGGAGGGAGAGAGGGAGGGAGAGAGGGAGGGAGACAGGGAGGAAGAGAGGGAGGGAGAGAGGGAGGGAGAGAGGGCGGTGTCAGTGTGGACTTACAGATGTGAGATGTCTATTATTATTATGTTTAAACTCTAAATAAACTGTTTTCATTTAAATTCAATTCCTGACAGCAAAGACGAGTGTTGTGTTATTGTAATGTACCTTATATAATTATTAGACAAAATCCCGTTAATCTTACATCATTCAGTGAGAAAATTATGTCAAATACGACGCGTTGTCAAAATATTATTGTTTACCGTAATAAGCGAAAAGTTGCTCTAGAGGGTTACTTCCCGTTTTCTCTCCACACCTGTTGATTGTTGCTTGTTACCTGCTAGCGGTACCTGGCATGCCAACACTTCCTCTCTCTTTCACACCTCCTGTCATACAATCACTTTAGTACCAGAGAAAATATCTCATAAAATGTGTTTATTTCAGTGTAGATGTGTGAGATGATAAAGACGACACCTGCCATCGAGGACTACTGAGGGAGGAAGAAGATTCATCCTACGCACCGCCACCCTCAAGGCTGGCGGTGCGAGGTAGAGAGAGGCTCCCACACAACACACACATCAGTACACTTTCACTGTTAGCAAGGTGAGGTACACTAAACCACGCTCCGGAGCCTCACACCACACCGACTACTCCCTCTTGGTGTCATGTGGACGAGCAGGTGACCGCCCTCTCGCGGGATCTTGTCAATTACGTAATGCTAAGGTGAGTTAGATCATCCAGGTGTGTTTTTTTTTAATATTTCTAGGACAGGTAAGTCGCCTTGTTGGGATGATTACCACCAGGATCTAGTCTTCTTCTCTCTCTCTCTCTCCCTTCCTCCCCCTTCCCTCACCTGGGCGGGAGGATGGGTGGGTGGCCAAGGCTTCAGGTTAGATAACTATGAATTGCATGATTTTAGTGGCTGCTTTATCGCTGTCTTTCGTATGTTGTCGGGAGTCATTGTATGTTAGTGGACGTTATGGTATGCTATTGACATCGGTCGTTATTAAGTTTTTTTCTGCGTTACCAGCAGTTACTGTACGTTACGGGCAGTTACTCAGTGTTACTAGGAATTTATTCTGTCTTGCCGGGAGTTACCGGAAATTATGGTATGTTGCTATTATCGTACGTTACTAGGAGTTAACGTACTTTATTAGTACTCAATGTACTGTACGTTAGTTGGAATTACCGTGCATGACTAGGAATCAATGTACGTTATTAGAATTCAACACCACGCGCGTAATGGCTCCTTCATTTTATTAGGAGTCACCTTGCACGTTACCAAGAGCTGCTGTGAGATACTGGCATTATATGGTAATGAATCATTTGTATGCCATTATTAGGGGTTAGTTGCCATTCTTATATCATTACCTCCAGCTGTGAACCATTGCCGTATTATTTAAAGACAGCTTGTGTTGCCATTGTGTGAGATGATGAGTAGGTAAAGTGTGCGTTACCTTGAGATATTGTAGTTATTGTAACATTATGGTGAAATAGTGTAGCGTATAGTGATTAAAACATCCATTGAAAGTCATTGTACTGTGAGGCCTTGTATAGTACATTACCGTGAACCTCTGTACTGTATTTCACTGATACAAAAAAATTACACACACACATACTGTACTGTATACTGTATGTTTCAGTCACGTCCACTTTTCGATTCGGTTCATGAGTTACACCACCCGAACTGAAACTGTAATTATTTATTAAAATATTTACAGACCTGTGTGTGTGTGGATGATGGGTACAATACAGGGAATACAGTAGATAAACACATGTATTTTTATTGATATGTAGGTAACCTACATATGTATGTATAGTTAGTTACACTCATACATTCTTGTTAGTGCTTATGTATACCCCAACCACCACGCTCATCACTTACACAGACCCACGTACACAAGCACCACTACTACTTTGCTGTCACTCGAGTATGACGATCATCCAGCTATGATACAATGATATGAGTTAATAGGGATGTCACCTAGGTTAGTGATCTCTGAGGTGAGTCAAGAGGCCGATACGGGACCGGCAGGGTCGATCACAGATGTTGCACATGTGGAGGGCTCCATCTAGTGCGGGAGGGGCGGCGGCAGCGTCTTTACGGCGCTGGCGCTTGTCTGCCTCGGTTTGCAGTTGGGCTAACTCGCAAGTATTGACACCTTCTCGTGTGGTGCTCCTCCAAGCGTTACGGTGTGGAGTGATCGTCTCCCAGGTGAGGGGGTCGATTTGGCACTTTTCAGGTTTGTCTTAAGACATCTTCAGTTGCCCGCCAGCATTACGTTTACTATTCGTTAGGTGACTGTAAAGTAGCTGCTTCGGCAGTCTACTGTCGTCCATGTGGGTAACATGGTCAGTCTAGCGTAGTTGTTCATGGATAATGGTAGCCTCGATGCTTCTACGCTTTCGATGTGCTTGATGCATCGAGCACTAATGTACACACACACACACACACACACAACCACGCGCGCACACACACACACACACACACACACTTAGTTGCATCACCGACCACTAGCCAGTGTTGCGGTTGTGTATATCTGTAGGAAGTCCACTGATACACACACACACACACCGCCATCTGGTGTACTTGACAGACAGGTGACAGGTGGCGTGTAGGAGAGTGAGGGAACTGTTCATGTATGGTATATAGCTATGTAACACTAAATGGCCGCTGCAAGTGCATATATAAAACGAGAGAGACAGGCAGATGGACAGAGAGATGAGACATATGGGCAGATAGAAACAGACAGACAGACATAGAATGAGGAAGAGAGAGAGAGATACAGACAGACAGGAAGAGAGAGAGGTCAGAGAGAGAGAGAGAGAGAGAGAGAGAGAGAGAGAGCGTAGAATTATTGTACACGAACATTTATACATAATTAACTGACCAGACAGGTGACAGCATCAAAGTCATGCGTAACCTGTTTGTTTTTTCTGTCTGTATATCTGTCTGTCTGTCTGCCTGTGGGATTAATTAAGGGACAAGATATATTGACAGAAATGGATTCAAACAAGTAGGAATATTTACCTTACACACACACACACCCACCCACACACACACACACACCCACACACACACACACACACACACACACCCACACACCCACACACACACACACACACACACACACCCACACACACACACACACACACACACACCCACACACACACACACACACACACCGACTCTTCGTACCCTCCTCTCACACAAAGTGAATCTCCCTCCCCTACTGAATTCCCACATTTTATTCAACAGTAAACCGGTTATTATCTCATACCAGAGCACACAGTAAGCTGGGTCATCCATACGAACATTACACCACATTTTTACATCATATCCTCAACTTACGTACTTAGAATTGAAGAAGAAATAGAGAGTAAATATCACAGTTTGCCTACGTTAAATATCCCCCCACGTTTCTTTGTCAAAATTCTGCTTATTTCATCCCAGAGCAGTAGAGAGAACAGATATGGACAACTTTAAATGCTGTAGTTATGTAGTTTATATACCTAACAACACCTTATTGGTTGTAGAGTATGTTAAATGGTTGTATAACTAAGGAAACGGAGGCAAAACAAACACACACACACACACACCCACACACACACACACACACTAAACAACAACACTACCAGGGAAAACTGTCGTGACCTCGGGGTAGATTAAATAGCAGTTTCCTCACGTATTAAACGAGTAAAATTTATTATATGACCTTCCCAGTGAGCGGGGTAGAGCATTCCGTTATAAGGGTGGATCAGAGGCCTCGGTATCTGGCACGGTGAAGGGGGAGAGTTAGGAACACTGTAATGTTATTTTGAAGATGTTGTCTGAAGATTAGTACACACACACCTTTATTTCATTTCACCTTAAGATTAACCACCCTGATACTAACCTAGCCTAACCTAACCTAACCTAACCTTCCCGAATTATCAATAAGGTGTTTAATCATCAGGTGAAATAAGCTGGGGGAGCTAATCTTCAGGTGGTCCGATGTGATTTGTTAGTTTGTGTCTGTGTAGTAATTAATAATAATAATTTACGGTTTATTGAAAGAGCATGGCAGCCGGAAGGCTGAAAATATACAGTTACATAATTGGGGAATGGGTCTCTTGATTTACAAATAATATACAAGTAACATAAGCGATACAAATATGATATATAATAACTAGGTGGGGAGAAGCTCAAACTGCAGGGCATTTCAACATAGTGACAGTGCAAAAAGTAAGATTGACTGGGAGTGAATACACTGGTTGATTACAAGTTATTGATGATTTTTACAATGGTTGGGACTGGGCTGTTCTTATTGCGAGTGTGTGTGTGTGAGGCAGCAACACCCACACACCATATCTATTCCATGAGCACAAAACCTGTTTACGAAAAGTGAAAGTTTGAATATTTTAGCCCAGCCACATCCACTTTCTTCACTATTTAGACCCTTCTGACGTAACTCTTCACGCGTATGATAAATAAATTGTATAGCTAGTGAATGATGTTATAATGTGGGATTAAGAAACGATTATGAGGTTAGGGAAATGGCACAACTAACCTAATCTAACCTAACCTAACCAAACCTTAACTAACCAACCAACCCAACCCAACCCAACCCAACCCAACCCAAAGACAACTCAACCCAACGTAACATGACCTAACTTAACCTAACCTAAACCTAACCTAACCGATAAGGTACCACCATCTTTACGTAAACCACTTCTTAGTATATTTTTCCTCTGGGGTAACTGTAAGTGACCTTTTCCAGTGTTTACGTGGGAGGTCACAGAGGTCACGCCATGGTGAGTTGCCTAATGCCCGTTTACCTTCATATCAGTTACTCTTTAATTCAATAATCTGTAATATTAGTGTAAGAAAAATACTAATTCATCGTTGTTAGATTATTTTTTTTTTGGGGGGGGGGATTACGTTGAAGAATCATTATATATCACAAGTTTAATTCAGTTTTCCCTTATTATTTAGTGTTTGTTTTTCCCATTTTCTTTGATTGTTTTAATTACTTTCGTTTTCTGTGATAACGTTTATTGTTTTGTTTCGTATGCGTCTGTTATTTTCTATTTTTTTTATGTCTCTTTGGTCTTTCATTCTCTTCACTGATATTTTTTATTTTTATTTTGATAATTTTTCTCACATGAAGCTGGAAAATAAATATACTGATGAGTTATGTCAAGGTTATATGTTATTAACTGGTGCTTTCATGATATATATTAATTAATAATATTTATTCATTATCTCTAAAAGTGAATAATATAGCCAATGTATCTGGTAATAACTGTCTCTTTGTATATATGTCTGTATGTGTATAAATCTTATTTTCATCAGTAATATAAGGTCTTTTAAAACACATATATATCAAAATCGCTGAGCTTTTCCCAGGCTTCTCGTGTCTAAACCAATTATTTTCACTTGTTGGTTTATAAATCTTCCTGTCTCATTATTTTTGTAATGTATCTCCTCTTTTTCTGTCTCTCTGTTTTATTCTATATCTTGTTTGTCTTCTGTCCAACACTTGTATCTATCTATCTATCTGTTTTTTTTCCTTTGCATTAAACAATATCTCTCTCTCTCTCTCTCTCTCTCTCTCTCTCTCTCTCTCTCTCTCTCTCTTAACCTCCCGCCACCTGCTCCCTTCACTTTCCTTTCCACCCACACGACCTGTTCCCCCCCCCCCCCGGCCTCGTCTTTTCCCACGAGTTCGTCTATATTAGGT